AAAATTACATAATAATAATGACTGAAATTTTACCAGTGAAAATGAGAACTGCCTGCTCTTTCACTTTCAAGCCTCAATGTCATAAACCTACAGCTATAAGCCTTTCTGTTTGCTGTAGGACATTTCTAATGCATTAATTGCCTGTGGGTGATAATAACACGGAAGGCCTCCTGCCGTTAATGTGGTGTCTGCCACACACTGACACAGGAAGACACCAGGCACCGGTGAGTCATCATCACCCACGAGCCACACCTGCCAGCTGGGATGCAATCTACCACAGACCCTGGCTTTTCCCCTCAGGCCTCTGCCGCAATAACATATCTGTTCTATGTGCACCTGGGACCGGCACAGAAGTCTTGCTGGAAACTTCTGCTTCTTACATGCCTCAATTACATTAGAGTCTCTCTAAACTAACATCAACCGGTCAGCTCTTGTAAACAGGATGATGGAAAGGGTGCGCTGAATGCAATCAATGTTCATTTGCGAAATCTCTTTGGGCTAATAACGGCTCAATGGCATCTCAATCAGGACGATTTTTCAAAATTTTTACAGTTTTCTAATCACCAAAGAGCGAGCGGTAACTACAGATGCACTTGTCTTGCTTTGACATCAAATACTCATTACGGTGGCATATTGAACAGTAAGCTGCGCTGCCAATGACAAACTGAAATGTGGCTTTGAACTAGAGAGGCTGGGGATGGTCTCATAAACAGCCTGTTCCACACTTTAAAGGAACATTAAACTTTTCTTTGGAAATAGGCTCATTTCAGAGTTAAAGAGTAGAGTGTTAGCAGTTTTAAGGTAAACCTATCCAGCCGATCTCTGGGTCTGACAGGAGCACGTGTAGCTTAGCTTAGCATAAATCATTGAATTGGATTAGACCATTAGAGTTTGATATTTTTTCTATTTAAAGCCTGACTCTTCTTTAGTTAGATTTTGGACTAAAACTGTTTTAATGACCAGGTGCTACCCAGCAGACACAAAAATCATAAGACGTAAATATTTGGTTAGATTTAGATTTTTATTTTGATGTCTAATAACGTTGTGAAATGACGTTGATATTTTGTTGATTTTAGGTTGTACTAGAAAGTGACCAAAATCCAACATCAAGCCAACATCTTAAAACAGGGGTGTCCAAACTCGGTCCTGGAGTGTCAGTGTCCTGTATAGTTTAACTCCAACACACCTGCCTGGAACTTTTTGTATACCTAGAAAGAGCTTAATTAGCCGGTTCAGGTGTGTTTAATTGGGGTTGGAACTATAATATGCAGGACACCGGCCCTCCAGGACCGCGTTTGGACACCCCTGTCTTAAAACAACATCATATTGACGTCAAATACTGACATTTTTGTCAAGTACTGTATGGCAACCAAAATCCAACATCTGATAGACATTATAGTGGTAACGTCCACTCAACATCAAGTTGAAACATCATTTAGATGTTGATATTTGGTTGTTTTTAGGTTGCATTGGAAAGTAACCAAAATGCGCCTGACAATGGTTTCTGACATCAACCCGATTTTTATTAACAAACAAAATGAAGTACAATGTCAATCTGATGTCATGTAGACGTCCTGTACCTGCTGGGTATTTTCTAGGTTGATATGTCTAGGAACTATTAAGCTGGGATGCCGGAAAAAAAAGTTAAATAACGGCTCTTAAATTACAGAAATTTACCATAAAATGATAGGCATTAAATTACAGAAATTTCCTTAAATTTTTATTTCTGGTAAATTTCTGTAATTCAACTTTTGTTATTTTACAGTAAATTTCTGTAATTCAACCTCTGATATTTTACAGTAAATTTATGTAATTTAGCTGCCGTTATTATACATTTTTTTCCGCACCTCAGCTGCTGGAAATAAACCGTAAAATTATGATTTTTTTTTTATGAAGCCAGCTTCATCCAGTTTCTTTTATACAGTTTGCCAATTCAAAAAAAAAAAAAAAAAAGATGTTGTCTGGACAAGGTTTATAAGCCACCTCAACATCCATTTAGGCTAGGTATTTTCTAGGTCGATATGGCTAGGAACTTTACTCTCATTCTGGCATCATAATTAAAGAACTTTTTGATCACATACCACAGCGGCAGCAGGCGCGTAGATTATGCTGCACCTAAAAATAGTCCCCTGCTACGTAACAGCACTGCATAATACCCTTTCACCTGCTGCAGCCATGGTAGGGCAGGAAAGTAGCAAGTTTTAATTTTCCATAATCTTAGTACACAATAGAATTAGTCAAGCTTTAAATAGGACCATTTTCAAAACTCTTTTTTAAGTTATTTTTAAGAAAGATGCTAATAATTTAAACCAATTCAATAATTTATGCTAAGCTAAGCTAAGCTAAAAGTGTTTTGCCAGACCCAGAGATTGACTCAATAAATTAAAAAAAGGTAACAACTGTTTAACTCTAGGGTATTTGTAAAATGAGCCTACTTCCAAACAGAAGAAAAAAAAAAGCTGCGAGTTCCTAAAACAGCATCTGAAAACACTGGATGTCTTTGAAAACGTTGCTGTACATAGGGTGCGCTTTGTACTTACAGCAGCTAGAAGATAGGAAGCGGAAGCAAAAAAGCTTGGAAAAGTGGGAATACAGTAGAACGTTTTCATTTGAATGCTTCCTGTCAACATTTAAGGGAATGACAGATTCCACCCTGCCCTTACGGATGAGGCAAATTTCATGAAGAGCCCTCAAAGGCATCTATCAAATTCGCTCTGCATTTTTGGCCCGTAGCATGAAAATAACAAGTTCGGAGATGGCCATCTTGGGTTTCTGTCATTACTCAAGAGGGGGGGACTTGACTAAATACGAAAACGGAGGAAAGGAGAGACCTCTGAGCTGGCTAGCTGCATACGAGTCATATGACACAGCTCAACTCCCTCCAGAGATGTGCTTTAAACTCATTAGAAGGATATGGGTGGCAAAGGCCCACTGCTTGCAGGCATATCAAATAGCTCTGCTGCACATTCATTATGAAGGTTTGGCCTATTATGAGCTCGAAAATGCAGTGCAATGACATATTAATTAATGAGATTTTTCTTCATGCAGATGGAGGACACTATTCTGGAAGGTGTATTTCGCCTCATAATAAACAGAGATTTGAGTTTTCTATAGATAATCACTTCACCTGAAGAAGTGCTAGGCTGCAGATTTGTCCTTTTCTACTGAAGTTACATTTTGTTCTACATTGAACATGGACAGACTGACATGGACATAGTAATTGGATTGTAAATTTGTACAGTCCTGTTAGTCGTGCACACAGGTCATTTTCTCTGAACGCGTCATACACTGCGTAAGAGACGGGTAATAAATCGGTTTGGCGGATAAAATATAAGTGTGCTGAAGAACATGCTGATGTTAAATCCATTTTAACTCTCTAGTCAGCTTAGAAAACAGAGCGAGGCAACTGCTTTTACAGTAATTGGAGTCTGGAGAGAATCTATTATGGCTCTGAGATGGGGAACAGTGGCTGTGGTCCTGCCCACATGTCCCTTATAGCACACCAGTCATCTTCTGTTTCCTACATTTCAACTGTTCAGACCACTAATTGAGGCCCGAGTGCCTTCCATGTGTTACTGTCGTATTATTTATATTATTCTATTCCCTCTCACAACTGACTAGTTATGTAGTTATGAGAGGGATTTTGTTCTTTTTATGAAGCCAGCCTGATCGAGTTCCTTGCAAAGAGTTTGCCAATTTAAAAAAAGAAAGTGTTGCCTAGCCAAGGGTTATAAGTAGGGCCAGACAGAATCTGCGGACATTTTATATTATTTCTGTGGGGAATTTTGTAAAAAAAAAATCTGTGGATTTATGCGGAATAATTTTGGGAGTATCATAACTAAAACCTTATTATATGAAAGAAAAAAGAATACCTTTTTAACTTTTATTTAATGTTTACAGTGCAAATCCAATGAGATCCTTTTTATTTGGTAAACAAAGCAAGTCTCTCATATAATATATTTAATAAAAGACAGAAAATATGACTTTACAAACTGTATTGTAAATAAATCATATGAACACTTTCAAATTAGTCAATAACAATATTGAAATGAATTAAAAAACTGAATAAACACACATTTACTCAAGTAAATAAGCAGAATCAATGATGGGTGAAAAATCTGTGGAAATCTGCGGAATTCTGCACGCACAGATTCTGTGTGTGCATAGTTATAAGCCACCTCAGCATTCATTTAATGGATACCGTAGTAATTCAACAAAGCATAAACAGGCTAGTTCACCCCAAAATGAAAATGTTGTTATAATTTATTCAACCCTCATGTTACTCCAAACCCATACTAAATATGTCCATCTTTGAAATGCAAATGAAGATATTTAAATGAAATCTGAGAGATTTCTGACCATCCTTTAAAAATCCCATTTAACCAAATCTCTGATATCCATTTGAATTGAGTGGCTTAATTCAATTCCTCAAGAGACTTGATCACTGCATTAAATAAGCTTATTCCATTTTGGCTTAACATTGATCAGCAAACAATTTTTACATAATGCAAATCACGATTCTCCCCAAACTCTGAACAGACAACTTAACAAAACAGCAAAGAATGAAAAACAAAATGTTTCTGACAAAAAATGATTTGCTGCAATTCACTATATTATCAATTATTATATTATTCATTAATTTCTATTCATATTTTTTAAAAGCTCAGTTTGAACATAGTAAAAAGTGTTTTCATCCGATTCATCTTTCTTTTTCTCTCACTCTTTCTCAAACACAAATTAATAAACACATGCTAAACATTGTATGTGTGTTTGTATTGAGGACCAATTCAATACAAATAGTTTAATGCCTTTTCTGATAGAAAGGCTGAATATTCAGTTTTAGTGTGCAGTTGACCAGAAGCTGTATAATAATATAATAATATTAACATTAATAACAATAGTGCACTGTGCAATTGCTTTATGTTTTGTCACAATATTACTTATGTCTGAAACCCCAGCACTCAAACTTCTATGTACTATGCTCCAAACAAGTAACTTACCAAGACCAAGAGGGACCTCTGGACATGGTGGTAATGGTTTTGGGGTTGGCGGTGTGTGGTTTGCCTCTGGCTTGGTGCTAGGCAGAAGATGGTCAGCTGTGGCCAAGTAGCTCGCAAAGGTAGTGTTGGGCCTTCCGCTGGAGAAATTGTAGTAATAGTGGTGGGCTCCTCGAGAGTTATTTGCTCCACGGCCATTGTTGAAGCGGCTGAAGATGTCGAAACGCTGGCTGTAGACATCGAAGTAGAGGATCATCATGATGAGGAAGTGCACCAGGCAGAGCAACAGCACAGCCTTGCAAATCCGCTCCAGGGTCCGGCCCAACATCAGCCGGCTCATGGTCAAAGCCACACGGCACGCTCCGCTACACGCATCCGGTCAACGTCACCTCCCCGCACCGCTGAACCCTCCTGGACTGCAATTTACAAATATCACCTACAGAACAAAAGAAAGGTGTGGATGAGACAAACTTCCATGTCCTTCAGCCTAAAGAGATTTCCCAATTCCAAATGAAGAAAGTAAATAGCTTTAAACTGAAGCATTGTGTAGATAAACTGTGTTGTTACATCGTGTTTGGATTCTCTATTGTAAGAGACAATTACCGTACAAACAGTAATTATGCTAATACTATGACAGAGTAGCTTCCTTGTAGCTGTTCTAATACCGCAGTAGCAGATGTGCTTAACATTTGTTTTCTTGAATGCTAAATAATTTACTTATACTGCTTACATCAGTAGCTGTCTACAATGAACATTAAGTAGCAATCTAGGGCAGTGTTTCCCAACTCTGTTGCTGCAGGTACACTAACAGCACATATTTTTTGGACTCTCTTCTTATGTTCTAATGAGCTGATTCAGGTGTGTTTAATTTGGGAGAGTTTGAAAATGTGTACTGTTGGTGTGCCTTCAGGAACAGGGTTGGGAAACACTGATCTATTGTACAAACACAAATGATAGTTCAAAAGCAGTGTTGGGCAACAACGCGTTTCTAGTAAAGTGTTACTATAAAAGGCATTACTTTTGACAGTAAGTAATACTGTAAAACATTACTCTTTAAATGTAGTAACTTAGTTATCTTTACAATATGATGGGTTTGTCCATTACTTGGTAAGTTATTTCATTTTGGCTGCAGTCTAACCCACATCTTCCTGTGAACAGCGGTGACGCATTGTAGGATTGATGGATGCCAACCAACCACCATAAAGAATATGCGTCATGTACTGTATGAGGCACCAAACTGGACAAAAGTCAAGTCTAAATGCGCACAAGATACACTAAGCGCCCTATCATACACCGGGCGAAATGTGGCGCAAGGCGTGACGCAATTGTTTTTTGCGAGTTTCAGCTTGGCGCAAGCGTCGTTTTGACGTTTTGCACCATGCTTTTTAAATAGCAAATGCATTTGCGCTCATATGTGCGCCCATAGACATTCTGGTCTAAAAAGGAATGCGTGTTGAGGTACATTGCTGGCATGTTGCTATTTTGAGAAACTATAATAGATTTTTCAATAGAACAAAACAAAGTCGGTCTATTGTCCAGCGCAGAGCGCGTAAGATGTGCGCCTTGCTTACACATTGCTTAATACACACAAGATGAAGAGCAATACGCAAATATCTTTACATATAAAAATAATTAAAATATTAAGGATATATATATATATATATATATATATATATATATATATATATATATATATATATATATATATGATATAATAAGGATATATATAGGATATAAATATAAAGGATTAAAATATTACAAAACATTTTATTTTCTAGCCTACATAAATATAAAAACCACTGCCTTCATGCCTTCTTCATTTCGGGGGGCTTTTTCAGTTTACTCATGACAATTTGCGTTTGTATAATGTCATTATTATGAGCAGTATTATTTATTATATGCATATTTATATTGGTTTTATTAAAAACAAGCTTAGATTTGCCCACCTGTCAGGTTTTAGATCATTTGGGGGACAGCATGTGTTTTCGGATATAACTCAGGTTTTTGAACACACTTCCTTATTATTGTTCATTTTTTCGTTTGCTGGAAATTAGATTTAGAAATAGTTTTGAAACAAATCTTTGTGCTTAGCAAATAAAATGAATTATTTTTAGGCTAATTGATGTCGTACAAGGTTTCCCTATCCACGAGAGCGAAAGTGAAATTAGATAATGAGGAGGCTTATCTCTCATTCTCGTGCTGTAGGTGCTCTGTTTAACTGTTTTCTTGCTAGTTAAATGCTCAGTTTTTCCACTTACACTTTCGTTCATGTAAATAGCAAATGTGCCATGAGCGAGACGCAACAGACTCTTAAAGGGAATGGGAGATGAGACTCTGATTGGTTTATTCTCAAAACACACCTATAACTCATTAGGAAAATAAGCTCAACCCTTTTAGATCATGTGCCGTGGTATTTTTCCGTCCTTATATTAGCAAAAGTAGATTCTGACACGCCCCTAATGCATTGGTGCACTGCGCTTTGGACTTTGCGCATGGCCAGTAAGATTTTTATTTCTTTTTATTACATTTTTTTTATAGCCCTACACGACAAGCGACAAGAAAGGCATGTTTGTTTGTGATAAAATTTTATATTTCAACCCCTCAACTGTCACCCTACCTTTGAGTTCAGACTTTAAAATGATAGACAATACATATTTTGTCAAGATATGTTCTGTTTTAGGTGACACGGTGGCGCAGCAGGTAGTGCTGTCGCCTCATAGCAAGAAGGTCATTGGTTCGAGCATCGGCTGGGTCAGTTGGCATTTCTGTGTGGAGAATGCATGTTCTCCCCTAGTTTGCGTGGGTAACCTTTAGGTGCTCTGGCTTTCCCCACAAGTCTAAAGACATGCAGTACAGGTAAATCGGGTGAGCTAAAATTATCCATAGTGTATGTATGTGAATGAGAGAGTATGGGTGTTTCCAGAGATGGGTTGCAGCTGGAAGGGCATCCGCTGAGTAAAACGTGCTGGATAAGTTGGCGGTTCATACCGCTGTGGCAAACCCTGATGAATAAAGGGACTAAGCCGAAAAGAAAATGTTCTGTTTTAGACAAAAAGTCCCTTTAAACTCATCTGACACTGGTATCAAAGCTCTGTATGACTCTTTAAGTTACATATAATTATTTTCACTTGTAGGCAACAGCAAAGAAACAGATTATAATCATTAATTTAATCATTAACTAACCATGGACAATTGCGATTCTTCATTATCTGATTTTATCTGAAGGTTATAAAACCCAATAATTATGGAATATGACTGCTTTCTTTGTGCATCACAGATCTATGGTCATTATTGTTATTTATATAGCTAAAAGCAGCATACAATTAACACTGGCATCCCTTACCTGCATCTTTATTTTACAAAGCACAATTGTTAAACAAAGTCACTTTCAAACCCCATTAAAAATGCTAACCAAAAACTAAATACATCCAAGACAATGTAATTTGCACAGCAACAGTAAAACTACACGCTTTCTCAGGTTTAATTGGGATAAACTAGAAAACACTTAATGGCTGTCCAAATCTTGCTGGGAGCAATTACAGCACGTGCGGCTTTTCCAATCAACCCTAAGTGTAAAAGGCCAAAGGCAAGAAAGTTTACACAGCAACAGACTCCAGCCTGAAGTCGGAGGAGACCTGCGGCTAATTTCTCCCTCTCGCTGGATGGGAAAGCCGATTGATTTCACACATGACCAGGTGTTGAAAGCTCCCCCGCGGCAGTTCGGATGGAGGGGCTCACATCAGCAACTAGCAAACGCTAAAGCCAGCCATGTGGAGGAGGAAACACAAGATTTACAGTTCTCTCAACACCTGCAGCGACTAGGCCCCTATAACTACACCTCACCTGCACCCCGTCCAATACCCTACATCGCATATGTGACTCCTCTGCAATAACCATCATCAGCACAAGGTAGGAAAAAACAGTTTTTGACACAATTCACACGCCTTAGCCTGGTTTGAGCTCCTTTAGGGAATCACTCAACACTCACCAACCCCCATAATGAATCACACCGCCAGTCACAGACACAGGAACAAGCCAAAAATACTGTTACCGAGAGGTGGGAAAAGAGGTAAGATACAAAATAAGAACAGAAGATGACTGTGGGGGCTGTCACAAAAAGGGAAATGAGGTGCAAGGAGTCAACGGACAGAAAAAAAGATGACAACAGTAGAGAGAAAGAGAGACTATCATCAGGTTTTCCTCATACTGTAGTAAATAAATGGCTTTGTAACCAAGGTTTGTTTTTGTTTGCAGATTAGGGTCCCTTTATTTAAAAATAATAATAATAACTCTATGTAAATGATATATTTAAACATTCTTGTCTCTCTCTCTCTGTACCATACCCGTCAACCCTCCAGGATTCTCCTGTATTTTACCATTCAATCCCGCTATTATCCTTTTAAAGTATTTCCCATATTTCGCCCTTATTTTTAATCTTTCTATCTTTCTTTCATCTTTATTTTTTATCTTTCTATATCACAAATGTGTTATAATTGCAAGAGCTGTTCAAGAGAATTAAACGTTTGCTTTCTTTTAGCTTGAAAGCACGTTAAAATTAATATTACAGGGTTCATACACATTTTACTACTAAAATTCCATGACTTTTCCATGATTTTTCTAAGACTTTCAAGTAAATTTTCATGACCTAATGTTTCATGCAATGTCTACATATGTGTGGTAAAAGAAAAGCAATGCTTGTTCAACTTTATTACAGCATATTGTAAAACAGGCAACAATTTATTTAGTTCCAATTTATATTTATATCTATGTAAAACTGATTCAGATAATGCTTACACCGCACTAATAATGTGAGAGTATGTGATTGGCCAAGGACAGAAAAGAGGAAAATAACCTATATTCAAGTATACAGATATTTGTTTTCCTTGACTTTTCCAAAACTTTGTGGTTTTTTCAGATTTTCCTTAATTTTTCCTGGCCTGGAAAATGCCATGTCAAACTTCCATGACTTTTCCAGGTTTTTCATGACCGTATAAACCCTGGTATTAAAACAGCCACATTTACTTCAACGCCCTTCCTATATCTGAATCAGTCAATTCATGTAACAGAAGTTTCTATACTGAAGAAAACCTGACGAAAACTAAATAAAAATTAAGTGATGATGACGACAACTATAATAAAAATATACTGACATTTTTGTTGACTATTAAAAATGAAACAACAATGTGATTGATGTTTTTTTGGAAAATATTCATTCAAAATAATCTTGGTGTGTGATTCATCACACACACACGCACACACACACACACACACACACACACACGCACACACACACACATTTGAAAAGTAACTAGTCCACTGGTGATTATCATGTGGATTGATTGCCGATACATAATTTTACTTATGATATAAATAAACAATGCATTTTCAATTTTCAATGCAATTTTTGGTCTTTAATTGAAAAGCTATATTTTATAT